TCTCCTTTTATATTAAAGGCATCTATTACAAATTAATCATTATATTTAATTTCAAAGCATTAGTTTAAAAGATATTACACATTTAATTTCGCATTTGATTTAATTTAACTTCGAAGATATAATGCATTTAATTTAATTTCGAAAATATAATGTATTTAATTTAATTTCGAAGATACAACGTATTTAATTTAATTTCGAAGATATAAGGTATATTTAATTTAATTTCGAAGATATAACGTATTTAATTTAATTTCGAAGATATAACATATTTAATTTAATTCCAAGACGTTTATTTAGCATTTGATTTCGCATATTAATTTTTGTTACATAAGAAATTAATTTTGAAGAAGTTAATTTCAAAGATATATTATAATACATAATTATGAAGACGTTAACGATATTAATTTTATTAAATATATCACTGAAGATAATAAATCAAATTGTTACATTGCGCATAAATCAGTGATACGTATTGAAGTTGATTTCAACGGTTTGACGAAATGATTTTCCGGCGCTGATTTGGCTCGGAGGTCACGGTACCGCCAAATTTTTGCGCCATCACTATTCACTCAATAAATCTATTAATTTGCGTTAATTAGTTGATTAACTAAAAAATGATATACCGTATAGTCGCGAAATAACGCGCAGGGGTGTAATTTCGAATTTCGGCCTAAATTAAACTTAATTCGGGCCGATATTCGAAATAACGCTCCTGTGCATTATTTCCGACTATACGGTATATAAAATGAAATATAAATTCCTATAGTTATAGTAAATGTTTGCATTGTAACGAAGATAAAGTATGGTGTTCGATATGTAATCTAGACAATGTCAATTTAAGAATGGATAGGTATAAATAGAGAGATTAATGAGATTGATGATTATATGAAAGGATCTCAACTTATATGAACACATGACCGAATGGGTGATATTTGATATACTACTGTAAATTAAAAACTGGCAATGGAGTGATTTTACTTTGGTTGAGCGAGTGTTATACTAAATCTGAGCTGACAAAAATCAAAATTAAATAACTGGACAAGTCGCCTGGCAGACTATGAATTTAAAACTCGTTCTACTTTAGCTGATCTAATTTGGGACAGTCTTCCTATTAATAATAATAAGCCCATGGGTTTTGCTAGGGTAAGGTAAGGGCTCAGAAGTCAAGCCCTTACACAGACGTGTAGGGCTAGGGTGTTGCCATTACCCGGCCCATGCGGAGGCCTATTGTCAATGTTACTGACGGCCATTTCAAATTATTAAATTGTACATTCGTACATATATGATAAATTTAAAATGGGCTATCTGAATTGTACAGAAATTGGGCCAGAATTTAAGTGTGCATTTATGAAGAATCTAATTACAGAGGTTTATATTTAAATTAGAATTTAGGTGTTTATAAAGGGTTTTCTATAATTAATTTACAAATAAAATCATTTATCAATTTGTTTAGTCAATTTTTAATAATTTAAATATATTTTTTTCATACATTATAAAAAGAGTCCATCCTCTATATTATAATATGGTGCAAATTTTTAGTTGTTAATAGGAAACAAACATGCGTATATTGCTTGATAACACTTGCACTTACTGTATATTGTAAAAGATATTTATAATCTGATATATTTATATTTGTTTAAAAAATGCACTATTACAAAATCAATGCAGTACAGTATTTAAAATATATATTAATATAATAGCTTCCACTTGAATAAATGTACTAGGTTAATGTGCAGCATTGTGTGTCCGAAGCGCAGTAATGACTAAAATCTAATTTCGTTTTTTTGATGCAACACAAATCAAAACAATGTGATGTATCAAAACGTAACTATTATACGTACATACGTATGCGGACAGACACCAAATTCGGGAGTTACATTTTTGATATTACTATTATTGATGCATCAAAATGGAACTTTTGTATCACCTTACGTAAACATAGAAAGTCCTCTACGCTCCGGACAATAATAATAACAATACTAATATAAAGCACCTATATCGCTATTATATAGATCATACATCATCGTAATTTCCTAAATATTTTATTGCAGCCATTAATGAATAATTTTCTGCATTGAGGTCTGCAACCTCTATTGAATCTAGATTCCATGGCCAGGGATCTGTGGAAAGAACTATTCCGTTTAGCCTTTCCCATGCTTTAAAATATGGCATCCACTCTGAAGGCCATAATTTAAATTCAGCTGGATATTGCAAAGCTTCATTTACAGAAATTCCAAGTTCTTCTAATTTTTTATCGATCAATTCCCTTTCTATATTTGCCCACAAGTCATTACTGGTTAGTAACTTTAACCAGATCCTTCCTAATCTAGCATCCAGCATATCTTTGAGTCTCGGGAGTTCAATGTCATTTGATTCGGGAGGGAGTTTATTCTTGATCCAATTCATTATTAAATTACTTAATTCAGTAATTTGCCTATCGGTAAGAGGTAGGAGATAGGCAGTATACCAAATCTTAGATAAAAGACGTGACTTTGCAATACGTATAATACACATTTTATCTTCAGAAGATTGTTCATCATATACTTTGTCTATTTCTCGCATGGTCTTTTTAATATCTTCAGCCATTTTATCCCAAAAGCCCTTTTCGAATCGCCCCTTGCAATCGATGTTGAAACCCAAATATTTATTTGTACCATCATCTATAAGTAATTTATAATGTTCTTGTCCCGGTAATTCTATATGCAATGCTTCGTCCGTCAGTGGAACAAGTACTGACTTATTTTTGTTAACTTTCGCATTGGAAGCTTTTTCATATTTTTCTAACAATTGAGACACTATATCCCAGTCTTTAGAGCATCCTAATCCAATTGTCAAATCGTCAGCGAAAGCTGACACCTTAAATCTAAAATTATTTATCGCCACCCCACTTATATTTTTTACTAATAATCTTAGAAATGGCTCAAAAGCTAAAACATATAATAGTGGAGAGATTGGGTCGCCCTGTCTGACACCCCTCTCTAGTCTGAAGGGTGCTGAGAGGACACCACGATCAGACATATGTGCGGATTGATCCGCAAAAAGGTTTCTTATTAGGTTTATAAAATCTTTGTTAAATCTCATTTTTTTAAGGGTTAGCAGAAGGAATTTATGATTTACTCTATCAAAAGCCTTTTTTTGATCAATAAAGATTAACCAAGCCTTCTCTTTTTTATTTTTATTCCTTCTCATTGTTGAAATTACATTTAAGGCAGCGTCAAAATTATATCTCTCGGCGACAAAGCCGTATTGGTGACTCCCTATTAAGCATGTACATATCTTATTGAGTCTACTTCCTAAAATTTTTGTAAATATTTTAGCATCACAATTTGTTAATGATATCGGTCTCCAGTTATCTATATCACTTAGATCACCTTTTTTTTGGAGTAAAATAATGACATTTCTAAGCCATGAAGGTGGGAATTCACCGGTTTTCAAAATATGATTAAAGATTTGTCTCAAAATAGGAACCAGTTTATCTTGAAATGTTTTATAAAATTCAAACGGCAATCCGTCAATCCCTGGGCCTTTGTTGTTATCAAGTTTGGCTATAGTTTTAGAAATTTCTTCACAGGTAATTTCCTCTATCAATGAATTGTTTTGTTCTTCAGTTACACGGGGTAAACAATCAGTTATTTCGGTTGCAATATCGAAGTCAATTGGGTCTTCTTTAAAAAGATCTTTATAGTAAGTTTTTATGTATGTTAAAATTTCTTTAGGGTCGGTTGAGTTGGGTGCCGATGGATCTCGGACCTTTAAAGTTGCTCTTTCACTTTTTTCTGCCCATCCTCCTTTAATTAGATTTTCTTGGACTTTTTGATCTAAGTGAGAAAGATCGTTATTGATATCTGAAATGTTTGGGTCAAAAGCTGTTGATCTTTTATTTAATTCTACAAGAGTTTTATCTAGTTTATATGAGCGAAATACTGATTGAAAATGATTTTTAAGATGATCCCATTCAAAAACTGTATTTACACTTGTTATTTCTTCGGGAAAGTTTCTAAGAACCTTGGGATCTTCAAGCAATAGTTTATTCAACTTCCAGGTGTATGATTCAAGAGAGCACACCACCAACGGTCTGCTGAATTCGTCGAAATAAATTTCTACCTTTTTGCAGAAGTTCGTATAATCATCATCAATAAATACACAGTCAGACAAGTAATTTTTTTGCTCTCTTTGAATAAACTGTTTTCCCAATATGTCCACAACGTTTTTAAAACCTGACAGTAGTTCTTCTCCATAGATCGTGCCCAAGTTTATTTCGGACTCGCAGACTATTACATTTATCGTATTTTCTAATCTGTAAGGGATCCAATTATTAAAAAGATTAAAAAGATCCAATTCATTAATAGGTGGAATGTATATATTTGTTATTCGGAACTTCATGTCATAGTATATGACGCTGACACTTATTCCGTTTTCAATTTCTTCTATATCTTTAAAATGGACATTTTCATTTCCGGCTAGAATTGCCGTATTTGATGACCAGAAAGATTCATATTTCCAAAGATACTTTTTGATGTGATCTCTATGTCGTTCAGCTAAATCTACATACTGCAAATTAATTACATCTAATTTGCGCATCTCGAGCAGGTTTAAGGTTTCCCAACATTTTTCTTCGAACTCGTCGATTTCGTCGAATTCGTCGACTTCGTCGAATTCGTCGTCTTCGTCGAATTCGTCGTCTTCGTCGTCTTCGTTGGATTCGTCGACTTCGTCGAATTCGTGGAATTTGAAGAATTTTTCAACGCTCAATGATTCGTCGGATTCGTCGACTTCGAAGAATTCTTCAACGCTCAATGATTCGTCGAATCCTTCAAAGTTCGATGATCCGTCAAATCCTTCAAAGTTCGATAATCCGTTGAATCCTTCAACGTTCAATGTTGCGATCTTAATTTTATCGGTTTTCATTTTTGTTAGCAAAGTATTTGAGTTTCCGTTGTTTAAAAAATTTACACCTTTAGAGATTTAAACAACCAATTTATATCTCCGCATATAAATTGATATTATAACTCAATATAGCAATGCCTACGGATCAGCAGGCTGTATTTTTTCCAGCGCATGCATAAACTAAGCCTAAAATAATGAATTATAAT